CCACCAATGTGCCTCTCACCAGCGACACGCCGCATTTACGCACGCATGTCGTGCAACCTTCACCAGTGGCACGGAAAATCAAACGCACTTTCCACCGAGGCCGCGCCAAAACACATGGCACAGCGACATCACCTTTCGAAATCTTGTGCTAGCCTGATGGGCCCGATCATGAAGAATCACTATATATCACTATCTTAGAATTAAACAAAGGTCTTATACAGTACAGTACAGGGAAAAAGACTCTTGTGCTTATGGGAAACCGCCAGCTTCAACCAACAAGTGTGCCCACACCAAGCGTGCCCTGCACACTGGACACACCGGCCTTAAGGGCAGCCGGTATGCAAACTGGTGGAGAAGGACACAGGACACAAGCTCAGGAACAACTGATCTTCAGTTTGTTTCAATTTTGTCATACATGTTTAATAACTAAAGTATGTTAGTTGTATGGTAAATCGATAAACACCCTAGCCCGACTTTTCGGTTTTGAAGTTCGTCCCAGGTTTCCACCTTTGTGGTTCCCCATATTTGGGGAACCCTGGGCCTGCCAGGTGTTTGAATAGGTGAAGGGGATTATAATATATGTTGGACTCCAAGATTCGAGAGCACTGCATGTCGAAATTCAGAAAGGCTAAGCTCACCAGATCGGTCTTTGTCAAGGACCTCAACGAAGCTTTGGTCAGTTCACGTTGATTTCCCGAACACCCAGATTCTTTTTGGCAAAATCATGCAGCTCAATCATGAACGAACTCTCTATGTTGCGGCCTTGAAAGCAGCTCGGACACTTCCAAACCTCAATTCGCATCGGCACAAAGCGCCCCCCAAGATGAATCGTCCCAGAAAACAACTTGGGTCACATCGATCCACCTCTTACTCGCATAAACACCAAAGCTGTTGCTGAGTGACTGCGAGTCGGCCCAGTCCTTGAAGTTCATCAGGAGTTGGCTAGATTGGCTGTCGATTTCCTCGGAAGATGAAAGGTGTGGGACATGCTGTCAGCAGAAATGCTATGGCCGAATAGCCTCCGTCCCGGCTATGTAGCTGCCCGTCTCCGTATTCATTCTCATGCTGCCATGGTGCTTCTAGTGTGATCGACCCACTCAGGTCCTTGGTAGTCAATCCATACCCTGGTGGAATGTGCCAAGATGCTGGTACCATACGAATACCTGAAGTAGTTGAGTGTAAGCATGCGCTTTGAATGCCCAAGTAGCTTTATCCAAAGCGAGCCAAGCCCCGCCGACGTCCCCATGAAATTTCAGGTATCGCATCGCCTTCAGATCAACGATTCTTTGCGACCAACGGTCTTCGCAATGGATAATCTAAGACGATATCATACATCATGATCCTTTTCAGTGCATTTCAGTGCTACAGTGGTCCGATGGACTGAAATTGGCAATCTCAATGACAGGCAAGCTGCGTTGTTGAACTCATCCCAATTGCAAACATTTGAGCTGTCCTGAGAACTGGGATCTCAAATCAATGCCGCCCAACTTGAACGTACGTCTTGATATTCCACGACATGACCGCCTCCTGCCTTGTCCAAAAGGGTTCGCCATGCTTTCAAGTAATGACCATACTTGGTGATCAACATGGACCTGAGTCGCCGCATTGAGCACATTCGGACATCTTGGAATCTTGTTACCCACCTGATGTGATCGGCTGCTGCTTGATTCGGTTCTGCCACCAGGTAGGCGGGAGGGCGCCAGTGGTCCAAGAACCTCAGCGATTTTACGTCTTGGGTGGAGACCGTCGTGTTGCCATCGGTTTCTGTGTTGATGTCACGCAGTTCGGCGAACCCCCACGCTCCCCTGTAGTGCATGCAAAAGGCTCAATGTCAGTGAAGGCCAAATGCTTCCTGAGCTGCATGAGAGCCATATTCCGAATTGGTTTGTTACTTTGATCATCTTTGATCCATCTGTTTCCATTGCTTTCTTTATTAATCTCGATTGTGCTGTTAGCAGCTGTATTTCTGGAATGTTCTGACAGCACATCTTTACACCAAGTGGCTTTCCTTGCCAGTCAAGCCAATGAGACAATTCCTTCGCAAGGGGGGAACGATCACGACATGAGATGCCAGTGCTGGAAAAAACTGCGCAGAATGTCCTGGAGCTCTGCTTCTGTCAGCCCAGACCGCATTACAGTGCACCTTCGGACAAATACATCATAGCCTCACTACATCATCACGCAAAGCCAACATGCAGTAGTCCGTAGAGAAATGTTTCCAAGTTGCTGCACAGCAAATTTCTTGAAGTGAGTGTTTCTAGAAACGCTTCTCCCAAATAAGGTCACCACTTATACGTTGCTTGTCTCGCTTGTCAATGGCTCTCCAAAGGGGAATGGCCGGCCTGAATAAACCCTGGGCTTTGTCGATTATATAACGATCGCACAGGACGTCGTCGCAAACGATCCCTTAACAACACAAGCTGATTGTAGAACCGAGCATTATGAATGACATTGAATGACGTTCTGGTGGGCTTCTTATTGAAGGAAACACAATTTGTCTTCGTTCTCTGCGTCTCTGCAACATGCATTAGAACATCAAAGATTCTGCAGGTTCCCGCCAGTGACCTTCACTCCATCGCCCTAAGTTCCTAAACATGGAACCACCTGAAGAAACATCAGGCAAAAATTGCAGGAACAGCATCACCATGGATCCAAGGCATCAAACACTATCAAGCGCCATGTCGCATCGCATGCCTCACCCCGCTCTCAGGCAGTGCCTGGTGCCGAATTTCTTGTCCCCAAAGTCCTTGAAGCGCGCTAGCAGTCGGGCGCAACTGGGATCCAGCTCCTCCAGCGAGGCAGAACCTTAGGCAGAACTGGAGGTGGGAGCAACTCACAGGGTCGATCTGAAATGCCACAGCCGACCACACTAGTAGCTTCTTGTTACTAGCGATGCACTTGTTACTTGTTACCCAAAACTTCAGCAACTTGCCCTGCAATATCCTGCAATGATCACCCCAAGGAGCGTTCCGTTTCTTGCCGTTTGGAGAGCCGTGACGTTGCTGCTTAGTGGCCGTTTCCAGTGTTGTCCAGTGCCTGCCAAAGCATCCGGCTGTCTCCTTTCCAACCTGTGCATCGGACTTTTCGGCACTTATTGGTAAACCAAAAGTGCTCTAAGGTCTGTTCTGCAATTAGTAATTCCAAGTTTGGCCCAATTCCGTCTGGCCACCAATCTGACGACACACTTTGAACAGCTCTGGCTTTTGGAGGTTCCTTGGCCGGCATGCCGAAAAACTATCTCAAAATGCCATCCCTGTAGGATCATTCACTGTGCCAATCGTTGCTCCAAAAACAGGACATCATCGTTCAAATCATACCAAGAAGCATTGTGCCATCAACATCCAGCACCTTTGGAGCACACAGGTGCAAGCAATGCTTGACACATGTTGTGTGTCAAGCACAAGTGCGACGGCCTTTCGCCACGCGTGGTAGGTTGGCCCGAAGTGCTTTTTCAGGAATGCCTTGAAACTGCTCAAGTGCCTGAGACGATTGAAGAAAATGGAGGTCTGCAAGTGCTGCGGGGCGAATGAGTCAACATGACAAGTCAAATAGTAGAGCACAGAAAGGCACGTATACAGAATTCAGAAAGAAACGGACAGCAATCATTAGCAATCTCAATCGACTTGATGAATGTGGCTAGATTCTTCCTGCCACACTAGTGTCATGTCTTTCTGCTTGATTCTAAGTTGAATCAAAAAATCATTCCCCCCAAACTTACAAGACTGAGCAAGTGGGATTCATGACATCCATGATGCCTTGAGTAGGGGCTGCAATTGCAACTGCAGAGTTCAAAGACAGTTGAACACCTGCATGTAAATGCACATAAAGCATGTGGAAGTGTCGTGGGCACAAAGGAAAAGTATATACCCTGGCAAACGAGAGGCATCTGCTGGCTTTTGCGGGCTGCTGCCTTTGCTTTCTGGTCAGCTCCTATCCTGGCCAAGTGCTTCTATGTAGGCTGGATCGAAAGCACAATGATTTTGTGCCTTCTCTTCGCTTCTTGCTTCAGCTTGTGTTTTCTGACTTCATGCTCCTAAGATCCGCATGCAGCCCATGACCCCTGCCATGAGTAGACAGAAATGATGACAAACACATGGATAAGTCATTTGACAGTCAAGACACAATCCAATTCAAGGAGTGCACATCAACGAGGCCTGGCGCGAAGCAAACAAAACACCAGGCTCCAGCCAGGTGAAGATCGGTGGACATCTACACACTCAGGTAGGTGCGTGCCATGAAAACAGGTGTGGGACTGGCCTGTTTTCAGGTCTTTCAAGGCATAGAACAGCTCCTGACAAAAAAAAAAAACTGGCTGCTGTTCCATCATGAAGCTCAATTAACCTCAAAGATCCACAATGCTAAAAATCACATGTTGGATACACCTCTCCTCTGTTTGCCTCGTCCAACCTTGGCCATTGAACAATAGGCCTACCAATACCTGGTCACTGGGCCTCTGCATTTTGAATTGCTTGTGCGAGCTGGTGCAGGCAAGTACTGCAATGTCGGAGTTGTTTGCAGCCCCCCTACCAGTTCCACCATGAGTCATTCGATTTTGCATGATCAATTTTGGCCTAGAAGCCACACAGCTGCAGGCCCTCGGTCCATGCTGACTCGCCAATCGTGAGTGTGCAATCTTCATCCCCTCAGGTCAAAGAGAAACGCTTTTCATTCCATTCGATTCAATGATCAAAGCATACCATGACTGCAAGGACCTGGAGGTACGCTGACTCCCGCTTGGTTCCGCCAACGCAGAACCAATCTTTCAAAGGTGCGGTGCGATAAACAACTTATGGTAGCGTCCTTGCTCCTAGTAGCGATGCCAGGAGCCCCTAGTAGGCTTCGGGCTCAAGCTGCCTTAGCCTCAGGGAGTGTTCTAGGCCCCCCGGGACCAGGCTGCCACCGCAAGGAGGGGTTTGGTGTCCAAGAAGGATCACATCCCCTTGTGGCCAGCCTTGTTCCACAGATCTCTAGGACCTCGAGTTTCCTTGTGCCTGTAGTTCATGGCGGACTTCCCATGGGGTCCATCACTGAGGGACCATGACGTGGACAGACGAGTCCTCGAGGTCTTCCAGAAGTTTCCGCATGAAGCCACTAGCTGGAAAGTTGGTCACCGCACGATGGTGGCGATGCTGGTTGATAAGGTCTCGCAAGACTGGATTCATGGCTCGCTGTGCTCACTGCACCATCGTATTGGCCTTCATTGGGAGGGCCTTTTGACGGCTGATGCGAGTGTTCATGTGCCCGGGCTCAACCATTGCTACCCATTGGTTTGCGCCGGCGAGAAGATCCTCATTGCTGGAATCCCGAGATCGGTTTCTGATGATGGCCTGACCTTCGAGCTGCAATGAGGTGGTACTGTTGTGCACTACCCCGAAGTTGCCTCCGAACTGCACTGGAATCTGCTACACTTGTTTTCAGGTGGTTTCAGCGGATGGTCGCAAGCAGCAGAATGGTTGGAAACTGCCGAGGTCGGCCTCGTGGTGGACAGGCAAGTATTTCTGGACTGGGACCCTACGGTGGTCAAGACATGTGCACTGAAGGTGGTGAAGGCCCCGTTGGAGCCTACTCCTGACCTGGTCACACCGAAGAAGATCATTGTGGAAGGATCCATTTCGGATTTCACCCTGCTCCATGCTGTACGCATGCCGTTCAATTTGGTTGAGACCCTCAGTCCACCATGTGTGTCATGGTCGAAGGGAGGAACTGGAGGAGGCCTGGACTCCTCCCATGGTTTTGCCCTTCTCGAGAATGTGGAGATGATTTTCGCCACTCAACCAGTGGCGGCCATTTTTGAATGTGCAGACGAGATTAAATCTCATCATCACTTTCATGTATTTGGCGCCCTCATGACCCAACTTGGCTACAAACTGGCCTGGGAACAGATCATGCCTTATCACTACCTTTCCAACCACTACCGGAACAGGTGGCTTGCTCTGTGGGTTCGTTACGACATCCCTGCAACAGAAGTTTCTACATTGTTCAAGCTGATGGTCCCACCGATTGTTCGCTGGACTGATGACAGGTACTCTTTCACGCTCCCACGAGAGATTCAAGTCCAGCTGAAACTGTCTCCAGATCATTTCTTGCTTTACGGTGAACTGCAATTGTTGCCACCTGGGAAAAGAGCCAAGGTCAACCCATCTGCGACAGCCCTTCAGGTGATTCGTGCTCGCATTCCACTACCTCAGGAACCCCTTGCGACATTATGCTCGTCCTATACTCAGCAGCATAACCTCGATAGGAGCCACTTGGAACGCAGAGGCATTTTCGCAAGTGTGATTGAAAAGAACGGTGACTTCTTTTTCCTTGATCCTGTGCGCTTTGTTGCTTTACTCGGCACGGTCACAGACATCGCTATCCTTCTTGACCTGAGCAAAGCATTTCATCAAATTGGCAATGCTATCAGTGTGCCACATGCCTTGATGTGTTTCTTGATCATGCTCTCATCGATCACGAAGCAACAGCTGCCAATTCAAGAGTGCCTCCGCAAGTGCTGGCTAAGCCGCATCCATGCAGATGTCACGGTTGTGCTGGTTGAAAATGACCATGTTTGGATCCGGAACATTGTTCAGTTTGTGCACATGCTCCCAAAACCAAGGTTCCATGTCGCCTGCCCAAACGCCAAGGTTGTGTTTCTTGAGGAAACCTTCCTCATCGAAGTCGGCCAGCATCAGAGCTTCCGGGAACTTGGTACGATGCTGTTTCGCTTGCCATTGCATTTGATGATGCAGATTCGTGTTGAACACTTCATCAAACAGCCACGTCCTACCGATTTCGTGTGTGAATTCTTGGCTGTGGAAAAAGACTTTGATCTTTATCTTGGAGGTTACTTTCTGTGCACGATTCGGGCTTGTGAACGACCTTTGAGGTCAGCCAGTGTTGATGAGCCAGCAAACCTGTATGGGATCCCCACTGTCCATCAAGGCTCTGCGCTGCCGTTTGGGCCGTTTGATCCAGAAGATTTGTTGTTCGCTCAAGCGATTGAAAATCTTGAGAACCTCAATTGCATTACTTCGTACCCAGGGAGCACATTCGTGATTTGGGCAGAAAAGAACCTCTGGGCCTTTACGCCCTTCGATGGCACAGAAGAGCACTTTGCCACACGTATCAAGACTGCCTTTGACCGACTTGTCCCTTCCGAGAAGGCTGTGGTGACTCCACTTCACAAGCATTTTCGTTGGAGAACAGACACCCATGGCTTTATCATCCGCAGCCTGGAGCAAACGGAGTTTGAGGAAACCACCACGGTGCTGTTCGAGTCTCCACGTCCGCGGATGGCACCTCGGATTTTCGAGTCGTTCCAGGATCCTCATCCAAGGAATTGTGTCATTTGCACAATGGTCTACCTATCCAGCACCCTTGCACCCCCCAGGATGGGGACGTCTTTGTCACTTTGTCAGAGCCTGTTCGTGCAGGAGGTGTCCATGATGTGTGCAAGAAGCGACATGTCCTCCTTCCAGGGGCTACATTTGCTGATAGGTGTGAGTTTGCCTGTAACACAGAAGGGTGGGCGGCCTCAGACGAGATCTGGCATATCACTTCGATCTTTAACTGGTCGACACCACACATTCAGTTCCTGACACCGGTGTTTTGGGATTCTCGCATCAATGAGCTTGTCACTTGCGATGGCAAACAGGTCGGGTTCCCAAACAACTCCCTTTCGATACTTCCGATCCTGATCGATAATCATTGGGCCGGAATCGAGGTGATTCGACTTGCTGAAGTTGTCCAGGTCCTCTTTGTCCAAGTCCCAGCCGAATTGCAGGTTCGATTGCACCAGATCCTCTCTCGGATCTTCGACGTCAGTCCGGCAATGATCACAGTTACGGAGGTCTACAATCTCTGTGGGTGGGTGCTGCTGAAAAGATGGAGCGCAATGCTTCCTTTCAAGGACTGGCAGGACCCTGTTGATATGACATCAGTCCCACCGACCAAGCTTCAAGCCATCCAAATTGCCATTGAGTCCAGCCAAGAGGAATGGCACGCTTCAGGGGCTGACCAGAGCCTCTTTCGCTTCGCCACTCAATGCCGTACCAGGTTTCTGGCGTACCTTGCAAGGTCTACGACTGCTGTCTCCTCGGCCGTCACCACGCCGCTGTCAACCAATGTCCACTCCATTGAGATCAACCCCGAGGCCCGCGCGGCCACACTCTCGCCCTTTTCCGGAGAAACTCCTCGCCACTTGATCGATTATATCAATCGTCGCCTTGAGGACTTTCGAAGCGAGCCGACATGGGCTGCGAGTGATGAGATTGATTTCGCTCTCGACGTCGTCAGGCTGTATGTTTCGCATACGTTGATCATCACACCGTTGGTCTGGGACACACACACTACCTCCTTTCGGTCGATCACAGGTGTGGAGACGCCCTTGGCAGGTTTTACCGATTTTGTGGTTCCGATCGGCAGACACTGGGTCCAGTGCGACGTATTTGCCCAAGGACAAACCCTTTTTGTCCTTTTCGCCAACTCTCTTCCCAATGATGCAGACCCGCAGGTCATCGCAGTCGCTTTGGGCAGGTTGTTTGGAGCACATGAAAGCAATGTCACCTTCGTTGCCAGTGACACTAGTACACCAGAGGGGATGTGCGGTTGGTCCCTGATCAAAAGACTGTTCGATCGCTACCGCATCCCTATCCCTGCCGTTGCCGTTCAGATGACACAGGCACTGTCCGAGTCGCAGTTCAGCCAAGTCCTTGCATTGATTTTAGATCACGCAAATGCGTCTTGGGCAGACAACACAGATGACACAACCAGGACCAGCGGAATATATGTCGGCCGGAGCCCAAGACGGGGACGCTACAATGTCCCCTACTCCCTCGCCTGCCGGCCCAGTTGACCCACTTTCACTTCACGACCCCTGGGCACAAGCGATCAGGCAATCGTCCAAATGGGAAGACCTCAAATTGCAGGCTGGGCATCCATTTGTTGACTCTGCAAACAAGGCCATCCCGCAAATCCGCCGTTTGCAGGCTTCAAAGAGCCGTGGGGGTGTCATCCTTGCCTCCAAAGGTGCTATCGCGGATATCATGAAAAACACAGCCTCCGGCACCATCCATCATCGTCATGCCTGCTGCCGATGTTGCCAATTTGCGGACCCTTGGCTTCGAGGGTACACGGACCTCACGAGGTTGTACTTGAAGATCCGAAGCAAAAGTCCAGTTACAAGCGGTTGGTCCAGTATTTGCTGTTGGAAGGGGATGTCAAATTCGCTCTCCCTAAGCCAACGTGCTCCTTTACAACCCCACTTGTGTCGGAGCTGGTCTTTGAGCTCGACTCTCGATGTGCAGACAAATCCCTCGTTGCCTTCGTGCAACAGCAGCCTTTGAACCACTTCCGTGAGAAGGCCATTGAACTGCTTGGAGCTTCCGCAGTTGAGTCCGCCCAGTTTTATGGGTTCCGTGTGAACCGCAACCCTCCCGGGGGTGATGGCGCCTCCCAGCTACAATGCATTGTCAAAGTGCCGACTACTTTGCGCAAGAAGTTGATTTCCGCCAGTGGAGCAGTGTCTCAGATCTTTGTCCGAGACTTTCTCGATCGGTCGGCCCAACCTGATGACACGACAGTCCTTCCACGGTTTTGGCCTGTGTCTCCTATAGTGGTCTGCACCAAGTCACTGCCACTCCCGGGATTTGCTGGCATTCAAGTCACGAAAAGAGGGCTTGCAGTACGGGCATGGATCACTAATTTGGCCGAAGCTCGTAAGACCTTCATGACAGAGGACGAACGCATCTGCGAGGCTAATCTTGCTGCGGTGCCAAAGGTGCTCTACAACGCTGCTGGCTGGCCACCAGGCGTCCGCCCAGCAAGCCTGGTTGATTGCGTGCTGAAAGCCACTAAGCAGGCACCCATCCCAACTCGTGCCTTTCGTGAGGGGTGCACTGTTGGACGCTCGGCTTCGAGAGTCCTCCGTCGCCTGAGAAGTTTGCCGTTCAGATTAATGGCACGATCCATGAAATCCTGCTTTCGCCCGTTGCAGGTGCTCAGCCAAAAGGCAAGTCCAAGGGTAATGCCAGCAAGGCCAAGTCGAAGGAAAAGCCAGAGCCCAAGCCCTCCACGGGCGAGGTCCTCAAGGTTGTCTCCACAACATCCTCATCCGATACGGCCCGTATCGATGCACTTGAACGCAAGTTCGATGTGTTTGAGAAGAAACAAGATCAACTTGAGGTCAAACTCGACCAACGTTACAATGAGATTGCGGACAGCCTTCGCCTGCTTCTGCATTCTTCCAGCTCCCGCACAAGAGACCCCACCGGGGAGACACCACCCGGTAAGCACAGCAAGATGTCGTGAAGGGGCGGGGCATGCTCCCGTTGTCTTATTTCGTGGCTTGTTCTCTTTTGTCTTTGGTGGAGCCGTTTTCCGGTCTTTTCTGTTTCGTGGCTCATGCCGAGTTTCCTCTCCGCAGTGGGGATCTCCACCCCCCCTACACTCTGCCGGCATCACACTCTCATTTTTGCTATCTCATGTTATCGCCAGGAGGGGGGACACTAATCCTCTCCGAAGTTGCCTTTCGTGCTTGTGTGTATGTGGCTGCAGCAGCTTACTGCCATGCCCTTGACATTTGCACTATCCTTGCGCACTGTGTTGCGTCCTGCGTACCTGCCAATCTTCGGCTGGATTTTGTGGACTTTGTGGATTTTGTGCCTCGTCTTTGATTTGTTTTCCATGTCTCGCAGCACGCTCACATGTTGCCCAGGGCCTAATTACTGCATATCTAGACGCCTTCCACGGGTTCAGGAGGGCGCCATCCTTTGCACCATCGGAACCAATCCAGTGCGGTTCCCTTCATAGTTTGACTCTTCCCGGGGCTTCCCAGGCGAAGGACCTGGCGAGACCGGACAGACTAAGCTTTCCGTGGTTACAGCAAACATAGGTTCACTGAAGAAGAACAATTTTTGGTCTACTTGCAATGATGATGTCATTTGTCTCCAAGAGACTAGAAATGGTAAAGGCAACGTCCGATCTTGTTCGAAAGATGTGGAAGCTTGCAATATGAAGTTGTACCACGGTGGCCTTCTGCCCGGAATCCTTCAGTCCAATGGGATTGTCAAGTCGGGATCTGGAGGCACAGCCATTTTGGCACACAGTGAATTCGTGTCTCCTTTTGATCCCAGTACGTGCACCATATACCAATCGCTCTATGCGTCCAAAAGGGTCGTTGCTGTCTGGATCCAAGTTGCACCGCAGGTACGATTGCTGGTGTTTTCGGTCTACGCAAAAACGGCAGCATCCAAATACCCCGAGGTCCATGCGGAGAATGATCACCTCTTAAGTCAAGCTTTTGAGTGTGCTGCCCAATATGGTCCGGTACCCGTCATTGTGTGTGGCGATTTCCAGCTCAACCCCTTGCATTATGCAAGTGTCTCCGCTGTGGTTAACAACCACTCATGGACTGATCCACTGATTCAAGCTAATGAAGAAGGTGAGTTGACTCGACCGGGCTTTTCACCGGACAAGGGATCGGCGCACGTCTATCGATGGTATACTGTGCAACCATGTAGCCTTTTCAGCCCTACGCCACATCGAGGTCCTTGAACTGAAAGTCCAGCATCGACCCATCAGAGCCCGTTTTGAATGGGATCGTATCACTCAGGTTGGATACACGTTGATTAAGATGGCTGCCCTTAACCTTGAACGGTGCTCGGTCCCCGACAATGAGGATCCTTTGTGTCCATGCCACGACAATGCAGTTCAATTATGGACCTCTTCCTATGAAGCCGCTTTCCAGGCTGCATCCACGGTTGATGACAAATGGCAAATTACAAATAGTTATATGCTACATGTCCTCCAGGCCAATGGGGCCACCTGGGAATCGGGACCCCAAACTCGTGGTCGCACCCCATCGTTCCGTCCGACTCGCATTTGTCCAGGGCAGACAGCCAAAGGAGATGCACTTTCTAGGAAAACCAAAAGGATTGCGACTACAGTCAATCTCCTTCGGGAAATTTTCCTTCGGTTATCTAGACCGGTTCGCTCTTTCGCAGATGGTGATACCTTGATGCATTCCATCCACAAAGCCAGGATCGTACTGAACAAATGGAATTGCCCCAGTGTTTGGCCGGTGCACCAGCTGCCGACGTTGGTACATGTCTCTAATTGCCTGCAGTGGCTCGAAGGGATGCACTTCAAGGCCATGTGCAACACCAGACAGACTCGAATCCAAGCTTGGAGAAGAAGATTAGAGAGTCTGCGGAGAGCAGCAAGAAATACGTATTCCAGCACCTTAAACACAAGTCTAGTGATGAACCTCCCAACTTAATCACTGACCCTGATGGTAACATCCTGTACCAACCGTTCGATGCCCTCTCGGAGTTCAATGCGTAGTGGGATCAGGTGTTTGGGGCCAATGCTCTCCATGAAGATCCCCATACCATTTTGCGGGTTGTTTGGCCATATGTGTCACATCTGTCCCAGGAGCCTCACCTTCCGGAAATTACTGCACGCGACTTATGTGAACAGATTCATCGCAGAAAGCCCGAGGCGGCCCCAGGTCTTGACGGGTGGAGGACAGTTGAACTCCAACGATTACCTTGGTTCGCACTTGTTCCCGTGGCGGCAGTGTTCAATCAGATTGAACAGGAACTCACACCTCTTCCCCAAGTGCTGACCATCGCTAAACAAATGGTCCTCAATAAGAACGGGGACCCATCCCCTACGCAGAAAAGGTTGATCGCGTTACTCCCTGCCATCCTATTGACCTATACCGGTCTTCGCTTCCGCCAACTACAAGCATGGCAGCAATCGGTGATACCCCCCCAATTTGTGTGGAGCTATTAAGGGCCGCACCATGACCTCGGTGCACACACAACTTCGGATGGACCTTGACATTGCTAAACGGGATTCTACTCCCCTTGCGGGCCTTAAATTAGACAAATCTAAGTGCTTCGACCGCCTCATCCCGGCCATGGCGGGTGTCCTCATGTTGGCATTTGGCCTTCCACGGGGACTCGTCCACTTCTTTGTCCAGATGTATACCAACCTCCGCCGGCATCTCGCCCTGAGAGGATGGATTTCACCGATCGCAACGACGGCATCTAACGGTGTTGCCCAAGGTTGTTCATTGTCATTGATCGCTGTTAACTTGTTCATGTCGGTGTGGTCCATTTTTGTCGATCTCATCCCACAGGTCACGGCCAAAGCGTTCATAGATGACGCATACCTGTGGTCTCACCTGTCCCAGGTACATGAACTTCGACGGGCACTTGATGTCACCGTTTTCTGGGACACACTTACGGGGCAGCTCTCGAACCCCAAGAAATGCCAGCTGTGGGTCTCCAACAGAAGCAGCGAGTGGCGGCGATTTTTCCAGATGTCCCCCTCGCGGATGTCATCGATGTTCTGGGTGTGAAGATCTGTGTCTCCTCAACAAAATCATTTGATTTCGATGCCAAAAAAGGGGAGAAGATTGTTGATGATTTACGGAACATTTCGGCTCTGCCTTTGCCAATGTCAGTTAAGAAACACATCATTGGTGCCAACGTGGTCCCTCAACTCACTTACGGTTCTGGTATGACAAAGATCCCGGATCGGGTGCTGTGGAAAACACAGAATGAGATTGTCAATGTGCTGTGGGCCAAGCGTCCCCACTGGAGATCCCGACTCCTTGTTCTAGGTATTGTGGCAACACCCCACAGGACTGAACCCCAGCTCGCCCGCGCTTACACCGCGGTTATCGATTTTGTCAGGTTCTTGAACCAGATGCCGTGCTATTCAGACCTGTCGCGATCTCCAAAACGACCAACCCTGGCCATGAGAATCACTGATCTGGCAGCTGGCTGAAGCCCTCAAGACCCCTGGGCTAACTCTGCAGCCTGGCTTATGCATATCTTTTTGAGG